AAAAAAAAAAAAAAAAAAAAAAAAGGAAGAAGAAGAAGAAGAAGAAGAAAAAATGCAGTTGAGCTCAGCAGCTCTCTGTTCTCTTGTTTCTTTCTCCACTGAATATTCTTTTGCATTTTAAAGGATGTGCGAGTTGAAAAGAAACTCAGAAGTCTAATTCCTCCTACTGTCTATATTTCTGACAAATGAATGATCAGCTCACTATCTTATAGGAGAGATTATCCCAGTGTTTGACAGTTCTAACTGTTAGGGCATCTTCCTCACCTTACTAGAAGGGGGATGTTGTGATATCTGTGGCTTGTGCCTTCCCAGCAGCCATGCCTCCTTCCTCCACAAGAAGAACCACTCCTGTCCACTCTCAGTCCTTCTAGTTCAAATCAGCTAATCACCCTGGTTACATAGTGAAGTGCATGACCCAGGTTTGGCCATCGGTATGCTTCATTTCCCTGGTCAGAATGATTCATTCAAAAATGGTATAGGACTCAAGTCCGTTTAATGAGCATTAGCCCCGAGAGTCAGAGTGAGAGATTTAGAAACTGATCCAGAATGTCATTTGGGCCATGCTAAATTCAGGGCTTACCCCAGACTCCAAGGAAGATGGGTTAATATATTCTATTTGTTCCCAGGAACATGAGCCAGCCCTTCTGTTTGCCTAAGCCAGTTTGGATTGGGTTTCTTTTACCTGCAGCCAAGATATCCCTAGCTAATAGCGTGGTAAAGGCAAATTTAACTCAATAAACTCTTACTGGGCACTTCTTTATGTTCAAGCCCTAGGCTGGAAGCTGAGGGTAAGCTACAGTCCCTACACTCAGGGTATTACAAACTAGTAAGAGAGGTCGGTATACATATCCAACTTTCCCTCCTCTCACCCCTCCCCTCCCCCGCAATTTTTCAGTCTACCAGGTAGGCTGGGTGTACTAGCCAAGAGATACACAATGATACAGGAGACAAGAGAGGCATTATTCTGGCTGAGGAGATCGGGGGCTACCTCATAAAAGAGGTGACACATAAATTTGGCATTGAAGAGGGGTAGGATCTTGTTGCTCTGGCACAGTACACATTTCAGAAGGAGGGAATTATGTGAGTGAAGGCCTTAAAGAGAGGAGGAAAAGAAGCATCACAAGTATTTTTCATAAAGACGCCTAAGAAACATACAAACAATTCAATTTTTAAAATTCAGATCCATGTAGACAAACATAAAAAAGGTTGCAAGAAATGCTCATCTTTGAGCATCTAGCATGTGGAATCACCATCCTTGCTCTTCGGTCTTTCCTCCCTCTCCCTAATGGCAGAAGCACTGGCATCTACACAAATAAAAATCCACTGCTCTGTTGGCTTGAGATCAAGAGATCCTGGAAACCCAAGAAGGTTCCATGGACAGGTGCCACAAAAACGCATTTTTGAAATGAGAGACACATCTGTGCAAGTCTGTTCCAGGTGGATGGCTTTCTCTCATGATGCACAACAGTCCAGATGTGAAACTGGTGACAGATGTGTGCAGATGAGTGCCCCACTTAGCTGCTGACTGGTGTTGCAAAGAGAAGATTTCGGCTGATTACTGTCATTGGCTGGGGTTTTTGAGAAGGTGCTTCAAGTGGAATAAAAACCCTGGCTTCAGAATGACTTAAGATCTCACCCAGGGAAAGAAACTTTCCATAAAGCAATGTGAATTTGATAGTAATTCTGCTTTTTTTTTTCTAATAGTCACTGCATAAATCTTTTATTATTATTATTATTATTATTATATTATTATTTTGCAAATACTTACAAGCAAGTGCAAGGGAGAAGATACCTACTCTTTTGTCTGTACCCTAATATAGATAGAAGAGGAATGGAGGAGAAAAGTAATGGAAATGACTTAGAGGGACTACTACATGTTACCCAAAAGGGAGGTGAATGAAGACCAGCTTTGAAGGTGGTAACAGGAATTGAATGGATTCCTTTGATGCCTCCTGATGTGAGTTAATGAAAGGGACTGTGGACTGGAAAAATCACAGAAGCACATCATCATAATGCTTAGTTCATTCAGCAGTTCCAAGATTTGTTTCATAGAACATTATTTCTGGAAGGATGTTAATAAGTGTAACATAAAAACAGTGTGAAAATTAGGAAACACGAATCTAGGAAATATGAACTTAAACAGGTGGGGCGAGACTCCTCAGAACCTTTAGAAGATCACTATGCACTGAGAATTTCCAAGAGAGGTAAGTAGATGTAATACTTCTAAAATTATCTGGCCGTGGATCCCTGAGCATCAAAAGAGACCCATATGTGTAGGAGACATACACAGTGGGAGATGCTACATTCAATGACCTTACTTTATAGAGAAAAACTCAGGTCCAGAGAGGGAAGGTGATTTGTGCAAAGCTGCAGTGTTTCGGTTTGTCTGACATTGACTGAGAGGTCTTAAGAGGTGATTTCCAGCACCTGAGGTTGTTAGTGGCACTCTGCAGGATTGGTCAAAGGCAGAGCTTACCTGGGAAAGTTAGACCTGGCTGCTCTGCTGGTGACTTGCTGACCATGTGGCCTTAAGTGAAACTGTTGTCTTTTGGAATATCAAATCCCTCACAAAAAAAAAAAAAAAAAAAAAAAAAAAAAAAAAAGGCGTAATAATTTTTTGCCCTACCTATTTGATAGGATGGTTTTGTGAGGATCAAAAGAATTCAAATATGTGAGAATACTGTGAAGTGTAAGCATTCCACAGATGCTCAAAATTATTTACTTAAATTGACATTAGGATAGTAGCTTCCAAAATTAAGCATACGTCAGAATCACCTAGAGGGCTTTTAAAAATGCAGGTGGCAGAGTTTCTGGATCTCGGCGTGATACCTGAGAATTTGCATTTCTTTTTTTTTTTTTAATATTTATTTATTTTGGGGGGGAGACAGAGACAATAGCATGAGCTGGGGAGGGCAGAGAGGGAAACACAGATTCTAAAGCAGGCTCCAACGCTCTGAGCTGTCAGCACAGAGCCTGACACTGGGCTTGAACCCATGAACCATGAGATCGTGACCTGAGCCAAAGTCAGATGCTTAATTGACTGAGCCACCCAGGTGCCCTGAGAATTTGCATTTCTAATAAGTTCCCCAATGATGTTGATGCTACTGGTCCAGACATCACACTTTGAGAACCACTGACCTAGGCGAGCCCCAAACAAAATATGTGATGTCTAGAAACAATCCTGGGGAGACAGTAAACAGTTTTGATGTTGTAGGTTTGTAGGTAAAGGCGAAATGTGAAGAAAACCATTAAGGTTGGAGAGCTACTCTGAGCCAGGCACTGTGTAGGTAAACTCCCCACCCCAGCCCAGGGATACAGGATTCACTTTCCCTGTTTTACAGCGGTTCAATAACTTGCAGGTGCCTGCTGTCAAAGTTCACTCTCGTTCTGCTCCACCAAGACAAAGGACAGGCAGGGAAGCCACCTGTGAATCAAGCACAAAGCCAAATCCATGCAAGAAGCAGAAACTTCATTTGTAGCATGTGGCATCTGAGAATGCAGACACTATTGCTATGCCCATTGCCAGTAAACAGTAGCCTTACAGTCCAGTGCTCAGATGGCTTGGAGTTCAAAAGCCAGGCTGCATGTCACAACTCTGCTTTTACTAGCTGTCCTTTGCCAAATTACATACCCGCCCCCCCCCCCCCCCCCCCCACTGGGCCTCAGTGTCCTTATCTATGAAATGTGGAAAATAATTGTATCTGTCTTATGGGGTTGTTAGGAGGAGGAAATGAAATAATGTGGGTCAAATATTTAGCATGGCACCGGGCACAAACTACCTGTGGAAATGCTACTACTACAGGTTTTGATAAGAACAAGGTGGAACAACATAAGAGACTCTTAAAAACTGAGAACAAACTGAGGGTTGATGGGGGGTGGGTGATGGGTATTGAGGAGGGCATCTGTTGTGATGAGCACTGGGTGTTGTATGGAAACCAATTTGACAATAAATTTCATATAAAAAAAAAAGAACAAGGGGGAGCAAAAGAAGATGAAAGAGACCTTGATTGGCTTAACTATTTAAAAGGCACAGAAAGAATCAATTTGGGAGCCTCCAAATGAGTTTTTTCTGACCTTCTGGTTGTTTGTGGCTGACAGATAGTTCCTCAAACTCCTCTATTCTTCCTCAGGGGTACAGAAAAAGAAAGCCAGACCAAAACTCAAGGGAGGATGTTGAATTGGGCCCATCATGGAGTCTTGAGAACACAGTTTATAGAGCACAGAGGGACAGGCCTGATGGAGGAGAGGGGATGGATGGGAAAGGGCTGGCCCTGGGGCATCAGAGGTAACTCTGGTTTCTTACTGATGAGCTAGTGACCCACCACTGACTGTTGGCTATTGGGAAGCTTGACCTCAGGATGATCATACCATTGTTCTGCCAGGATCACAGGCCTTTTGCTAAGGGAACTGTGGTCCATGGGGTGAGGTCGAAGATGAATGCTAGTGGAGGTTCCCATGGAAACCAGTCTCCAGATGCAGCATTAACCGTCCAGCTCTCTGTCATCAGTGGAGCTTCCCAGAGTGAGAGAAGTAGAGGGAGGAGAAAGGGTAGAAGTACATTCCACTCCTCAACTCATTAACCATCTTATTAGGTCATCTTGAAAGCCACTTTCCTATGGAAGATTTTCCTTATTTCATCTCTTTTTTGAGTTCCCTTTGTATGGCTCCCATGGCCATCATGAGTCCTATTGCCTAGATATTGGAGAATGGAATTTAACCTAAATGGTTGCTTCATCCTGGCCGGAACTCAACATAAACCTGTGACTTAGTATATGCTTCTGCTCAGAGACCCTGCCTATAATCTTTTTCTGTGAGTAAAGCTGTGGTGGTCCCTTTCCTGCAAGTAGTGGCTGACTTCTTACATTACATTTGTTGTTTCTCTACTCAAGTATCTTCATCATCTCCCAGTACCCACTGAATCAATCCACTCTTCCCCTTGTCACTTCATACTCAACCATAGCCCTGACTGCTCAATCCAAGCCCTCTACACAAATGAGCACTGTTTTCTTTTCTTTTTAAATTTATTTATTTAGAGACACAGAGAGAGAGACAGAGACAGAGAAAGAGACAGAGAAAGAGAGAGAACGAACAGGGGAGGGGCAGAGAGGGAGAGAGAGAATCCCAAGTAGGCTCCATGCTGTCAGCACAGATCCTGATGCGGGGCTTGAGTCTACAAACCATGAGATCATGACCTGAGCTGAAATCAAGAGTCAGAGGCTTAACTGACTGAGCCATCCAGGCACCCCAATGACCAATGTTTTCACACTCTCCTTACACCTCTCTTATTTCCATCACCATTCTATTGTTTGTACTTTAGAAATTCCTGGGCTGCCTTTCTCTCTATTTGAACATGGGCAATTTTCAGTTTCCATAGCTTTTTTGATGGCTAGACAAACTCATGTTAGCCTCTTGCCTGATCCTTGAACCATACTATCTTTTACTACTCTCTCTCATTGTATTTTCTACCCCATAAAATGTTAAGATCCTTGGGGACAGGGATCAGATCTTTTACTTCTCAGTGATTCCTTAAATACTTAAAGCAATTCAGACATTCAGTGGCTTCTCAGAAATGCTTCAACTTATTGAAGATTTTATAGCAATCGTGCATGGTGTTATTTCAAGTGCAGTGAGTGATATAAAGACAGAGAGACCTACTCCTATTACACAGAAAACTATTATACAAGGCAAGGTAAGCCACAACAGAAACAGAAACTAAATCCTGCAGGGGAAGGCAAGAGCACTTAGAAAGGAGAATTAATACCTGTTATGGGGAGAAAGAAATGACACCTTGGAAAAAGCAATATTTGATATAGATTTTTGGAGAAGGGACAGGAGTTTGGGGGTACTTAATGGAAGGGAGCACTCTAGAGAACAGAGTGACTCAGGGGTGGTCTTGCTGAAGTGGATGGTATCGGAAAGGTAATATTGGGGTGAGAGACTAGAAAGTTAGGTTGAATCCAGGGTGTATCTGGCACCAGGGAAGAAGTTTATATGGAGGGGCCATAAATGATTTTGAGCAGGGGAGTGGCAACTCAGCGGTCTGCCTCAGGAAAACTCACCCTGAATCTCAGTATTGCCTGTGTTAGATCATGATCAACTGCAGTCACAAGACTGAACTGAGAAAGCCGGGAGCAGTAAGTAGCCTTGAACAAAGAGTGTCTCAAGATATTGGATTTTGAACACCTCATCTTTTTGGCAGCAACTATACTAAGTTAGGGGGTCCAATAGTCATCTGTGGACAGGGCCAGCCAACCACCAAATTATTTTCTGTCAAACTCTCTCCCTGTCCTCCAATCCCCCACCCTGTGGAGAACTTACTCCATAGACCAGCTCTCCCACCATGCCATTCCAAGCCTTGGTGTCAGGGTCACGGGCTCCATATTTTCCATCGCTGACAATCTCAAGACGGTAGGAGTAGCCCACATGTTTGGCAATCTCTGCTGCCAGCTCTACACAGTAGCCCTCATAGCGGTCATTGCCCTCAAACTGGTTGGCATTCTTCTTGAGCATCACATACGGATCTTCCTGGTAGAAAAATGGGGGAGAGAGAATGTGGGTTGTGGGTCCACTCATAGGTAAGGAGGACTTTGGCATGGCAGGGGAAGATGTCAACAACGTTGGTTAACTTTGGTCTCTCTAAGTCCCTAAACCTACTTCCTGCATTTCTGCTCCCTCCATTACAAAACTTCTTGGGCTAAGAAAGTAAACTCTTAAAATAAGAATATTTCATAATTCACATGTGGAGCTCACCCTTTTAAATTATGTTCCAGGAGCTTTTGTATTTTTTGGAGGTGCCTCTAGGGCACTATGTTGGGAAAGTAGGCCCTAAACAGTCTCCAGCTTTCTCACAGGCAATCACTGAAAATCACAGCAGTTCAGTGGTTATAAAGTAGCTAAAGTGCTGGCTTTTAGGAGACTTTCTTAGAAAATGGCTTCTACTGAAGGAGTGTACAGTCTGAGAACCACCATAATTTAGTCTCACCATTATGTCTTATATATGGGTAAACTATGGCTCAAAGGAGGGTGACTTATCCCAGTATACAAAATGAAATCATAGCAGAACCAGAGTAAAAACAGCATCTCTAATTTCTAGGAAACTCCTTTTTCTACTCCCTCTTTCTACCTATAGCATGGTTTTGGCAAGAAGAACAACCAGCTTATGCTCCTGGGGAAAACCTTTGTGTTGGTCTAGCTTACATCTAGATAACCTCGATGAAGGACTGAGTACTCACTAGGATTGTAGTAACGATGTATGTTCTATTCTGGACACTTGAATTGTCCCCCCCAGCTTGAGCATCGGTGGCTGCAGGGACAAACTTATCATCTTCATTCCAGTAACCGATCTGTTAAGGAGAGGAAAGTGGTGACGTGAGATGAGACAGGCTCCTCAGGACTGGCCTACTGTGGACCACCCAGCCAACACCAGACAAAAAAGCAAGGATCTAGGCATCATATCATACAATATTGGACACACCAGGCTCTAAAGCATTGGTAGATAAAAATAACAAGAGGTAAAGTGCTCTACATCCAGGTCCTCACAGTCCCACCCTCTTGAACATCCTCACCATGATGGGCTGAGCCTAGAAATTGCCCCTGTGAAGAGGGGGCGGGTTTAACTCTTAATGCAGCTAGAATATTTTGTACAATGCAAGCCATGGCTGTGGAAACTAAATTCCTTGCAGTTGTTCACAAGCTCAAACCCCTTTTGCTTTATTTCTATTAACCCTTCTCTTCCTGAGCTCATTCTGAATGGCAGTTGGAATCATATGATTTAAACATTAAATTCCTTTCGCTTTATTTTTATATTTACCTGTATTTTTTCCATCTAGATTTAACTTCCTAGGTGATTGTTATTTTATGCTTTATCATTTATTTCTCTTATTTCCAATTATGAAATATTATAATACTGAGTATATATTAGTGCCTAAAATTATTGGCTGAAAACATTATTATTTTTTTAAATTAGTGGGTTATTTATAATGGCTCATTTTCCAAGATCTTTCAGCTAATATTTATTGGATCCCTATCGTGTGCAAGGCTCTGAGCTAAAACACTGGTAGTATTGTGTGGGAGGTTGAGAGAGATACAAAAAGTCTAAGAGGTAGTCCTTGCTCTGAGAAGTTCCCCAGTCTACTTGGGAAGACATGACACATGCAACACACAAGGTCATAAAGGATGGGCAGTTTGAGCCCAAACCTTTCAGGTTGGAGAGACCATGAACATGTGCCAAGATGTAAAGGCAGGAATCTTCCCAGATATGTAAGTTCAATGGCTTCTAGGTGGAAGATAGGGTTAGCCTAAGAGGGCAGTGGGCAAGTGGTAGAAGATGGATTTTTTTTTTTTTTTTAATTTTGGGAGAGGAGAGAAAGAGAGAGAGAGAAAGAGAGAGAGAGAGAGAGAGAGAGAGAGAGAGAGAGATTCCCAAGCAGCTCCATGCTGTCAGTGTGGAGCCAGATGTAGAGCTCAATCTCATGAACTGCGAGATTATGACCTGAGCCAAAATCAAGAGGCAGATGCTCAAACCACTGAACCACCCAGGCGCCCCAGGAGACACCTGGATTTGAATGCCAGGCTAAACAATATAGACTTTATCCTGAAGGTAACAGGAAGTCATGGGAGGTTTGGGAAGAGCAGAATGGCATGGCTAATACACATACACACACAAACACACACCTCTGTCCTGTCTCTCTATATCTTTAGACAGTTGTGTTTTGTTCTGTGGTTCTTCTTTTGGCTGTAGATGGAGGGTGAGAAAGGAAAGAGAACTGGATGTGCATTTGCAGAGGAAAGAGCAGGCCTCCCATCAGCCAGAACTCAGACCAGGCTCACACAGCTGAGGCCTGTGCCAGGGGTCAACTCAAACAGCACTGTCTCCTTGATGCTTTCTCCAGTTTCCTCGTTGGGAAAAAGCCATTCTCTCTGTGATCTCACTGCGGTTAACAACAACAATGATAATTGCCAATGCTGATTATGTTCTTGCTATTGTCAGATGCTAAGTGTTTCTAAGTTTTTGTGCCATTTCATTTGGATTAGAGGTGTCTGTAACCCGCCCAAGGTGATGCAGCTGGAAATTGGCTCTGCATTTGTTGCTAAGAGGGGACTTGGCTTCCATGATAACATGTAATCATTTTAGTTAACATTTATTGAGCGCTTACTGGGTTTCAGCCACTCTTTTCTTCTAAGTGGTTTTTTTTTTTGTTTTTTTTTTTTATGTTTTAACTTCTTCCATCCTCACAAAAATCTATGAAGTGAGTACTTAATTATCACCCCCATTTTAATTTTTTTTTCAACTTTTATTTATTTTTGGGACAGAGAGAGACAGGGCATGAACGGGGGAGGGGCAGAGAGAGAGAGGGAGACACAGAATCGGAAACAGGCTCCAGGCTCTGAGCCATCAGCCCAGAGCCCGATGCGGGGCTCGAACTCATGGACCGCGAGATCGTGACCTGGCTGAAGTCGGACGCTTAACCGACTGCGCCACCCAGGCGCCCCTATCACCCCCATTTTAAATGTGAAGCAACTGAGATGTGGAGAAGTGAGGCAACTTTTCCAAGGTCACGGTCAAGTCATGGAGCCAGGATCTGAGCCAGGAAGGTTGACTGCAGGGCCAGTAAGCTGCTAGCCGGCCCTTGAGTGCCTCAGGTAGGTCCCCACTGGCCCTGTGGTCTGGCTGTTTGTATGTCTGTCGCCATCTCTCCACAGTTCTGTGGGTTCCTGATGGACAAAGCCAGAGGTCTATTCCTTCTAGAATGATTTACTTAGCATGGCACATTCTTCCATAAGAAGCAGCTCAGGAAATGTTTGTTAAGAGAAGATGTGCTTCCAACAAGGAGACAGTGGACCCTACTGGGTGCTAAGACAGTCCAGAGGCTTGTGTCTCAGGGCATTGGGTCAAAATCTACCCTTGGTGCAGGCCTGTGCTCAATATTGCCTGTGTTAGGCACTTTTAGTCAGCACAGAAGGAGACATTTCTCCCTAAATGACACAAGAACCAGAAACTTAGATTTCCAGAATGTCAGAGGTGGAAGAGGCTTGAAGAATCACTTCTTCCAACCCCTTTCTTTTACAGAGAGGGATGAGGGGACAGGCACAAAACCAGGATGCAGTCTTGACTCCCTCACTTTGCTAGACCAGGGCCCTGGAACCCTGGAGCATCTGTGGGGACTTTTCCATGCCACTTTCCTAGGAGGTGGGTGAGGGGTCAGAAAATGGGAGACAGCTCTGGGTGCCCCATCTCTCCTTCAAAACACTCAGTTCTGCTTTTTATCTCTTTCACATATTGGGATCCCTTTAACGTTCACTTTTACAAGGAGCCCTCTGGTTGAAAATGTTTAAAGCCACTAATGTAGTATATCATGATGCAAGTTTTCAAAAGATTTCCAAAGTACTTTCACAACATTTAACTCTTTAGCAAATAGTACAAGACAGGTGTGGGATTGTTTTCTCTGTTTTATAAAGGAGATAACTGAGCCTTGGGGAAATAAAATGATCTAATTTATAAATATAGAGATTATATAGCAGATTCGTGGCAGGGCATAGGAGCCAGGGCATGACCTCAAAGGTTAGGTTATTTAATGTAATCAATACTAACTCAGGAGCAGGTCTGGCAAATGCCATTTTCCCCCCACAGATGATGCTTTCCCTTTCCCTTTCTCTTTCTTTTCCTTCTTCCCCTCATTCCCTTCCTTTCTTCCCTTTTACTTTCCTCTTCACAATCAGGCACAGGTTTAGCTCCTTCTAATGAAACCATCAGTACAGAGCAAATTGCCTTCTCTGATGTGCAAAATCTAAAATATACAGTGTATTATTAAGTATTATTTTTTTTTAAGTGGGGGCTTGATAGTCAAGAGATTACTCTCTGATATAGACAGAACTGGTTTAAAAGGTGGGCTTTCCTGGGGTGCCTGGGTGGCTTGGTCGGTTGAGCTTCTGACTTCAGCTAAGGTCATGATCTCATGGTTTGTGGGTTTGAGCCCCAGGTCGGGCTTGCTGCTATCACATGGAGCCTGCTTCAGATCCTCTGTCCTTCTCTGTCTCTGCCCTTCCCCTGCTCATGCATGCGCACGTGCTCTTTCTCTCAAAAATAAATAAACATAAAAAAAAGGTAGACTTCCCTAATTACTAATCTTTGGCCAGTTACCTGACCTCAGTGGGCCTCGGTTCTTGCTCTGTGGAATGGATACATCAGGAGTATCTGTCTCTTGGGGTTTGCTGTGAGGATGGAAGGAGTTAATGCATGGACAACAATGAGAGCTGTATGTGGCTCATATTAATGCCTAGTCTAAGGGTAATGCCTAGTTGAAGGTTAGCAGGCTTCTATAGTATAAGACATTTCAGTATCAATCTACTATTGAAATTATCAATCTCTAAAGAAAAAGTGTATTATTTTAGAGCATTTCTCAAATTCATTTGGCAAAGTAACCCTCCCTTACATGCAGAATGCCCTAGGGTAAGTGTGCCCCAAACCATAAGACATTGCTCTAAAATCCCAAGTTATTTTGATAAAGGATAGGGGGAAAAAGCAAGATAAATCTGTTGTAGACCAGATTTACACTACTTAGAAAGAGACTTTAATTTCTCAAGATAGTGGTCCTTCAAAGCTAGTATTGTGGCACTAGTTGTTAAATTGGGATCTATAAAAGTTATTGCATAGCTTGGTTTATATACAGCTTCCTTGATATCAAAAGCTAGAGGAATAGCTAAGTGTCATAAACAAGTTTATTTGATGTCTGACCCTTTTGTAGGGAAATAAAACAATATTGCCAGTCAAAAGAGTGGGGTGATGCCAAAACCCGGCCTGCACCTCACATAAGCTAGCAGTTGAGAAATCTGGTTCCACAGTTCGATGAAACGAAAGTTGACAAAGAGTTTTGAAGAGACACTACACTTCAGAGATGAGAGCAAATTTCCCTTTCTTGGAGAAATGGGTTGGATTATTATACAGCACTTTGATTCTCTACTGAGGATATGCAGGACCTTTGATTCTCTCTGAAAGTAAATCAGAGCTAGTGGCTGGGTAAAGACTGGGGCCCATTATTCAGGAGAGGATTTAAACAATTCTAACAGTGAGAGGTCCTCTCCTGGGGCCAGTTATAATTTTTGATCTTCTGTTTCCATCTGCCTCTAAAGATTCTTTGAATGTAGGAAATGAGTCTAGATGATAGATTAGCTTTTTTTAAGTGAATGAAGTCTAAAAAAGAGATAGTTATAGAACAGTAAATTCAACTGATCTACCTTGCACAGTCAGCAAGTCAGATTTACACATTTGTATCTCTCGGCTGCCTGTAAAGCCACAGCCTGGGGACCTCCGAAAATGAGATCCACTGTAATACAGTTTTTAAAA